AAGATGTGTGGACAGTGGTGGGGAGGGGTGTTGGAAGGAGAGGAGGAACCCGGCACGGGAAGATGTGTGGACAGTGGTGGGGAGGGGTGTTGGAAGGAGAGGAGGAGCCTGGCATGGGAAGGGCTTGGAGACACTGAAGTGTTTGGCTTTGGTTCTGCAGCCATGTGAGCCACGGATGTGCTCAGTAATGGGTATGGGAGAAAGATGACAATTTAGAGTCAGGTCCCTGCCTGGCTCTGGGACCCATTTGCCCTGTGACCCTATGAATTTTATCCCTCTCCCAGGCCTTGTCGAGCTCCTCTGTGGAAGGTGAATTTCTATGATTGTACTTTTCTGAGTTGTCGTATTTCATTATCTACTTTAAAAGTTTCTCTTTTTGTTTTTCATAGATGGTAAATACTCTGTTCTGAATTTAAAGGTAAGATCATTTTTTAAAAAACTGATTTTCTCAATGTAGTTTTCATCATAAATTTTCAACAACTTTGGTGATTTGGGGGTAAAAAATAAATCTTCCCTTAAGAGTTCTTTCCTGTCGAATATTTCTTTTAAATGCTTTTTTTCTTTTCTTTTTTTTTGTTTTTGAGAAGGAGCTCTCACTGTCGCCCAGGCTGGAGTGCAGTGGTGCAATCTCAGCTCACTGTGGACTCCGTCTTCCAGGCTCAAGTGATCCTCCCACCTGTCTCCCGAGTAACTGGGATCACAGACGCATGCCACCACACCCAGCTAATTTTTTGTATTTTTGGTAAAGACAGGGTTTCCCCATGTTGCCCAGGCTGGTCTCAAACTCCTGAGCTCAAGTGATCCGCCCACCTCGACCTCCCAGAGTGCTGGGATTACAGGTGTGAGCCACTGTACCTGGCCTTAAACACTTTTAAAACATGAGGAAATTGATATTTTCCATAGTTTAATGATGAAAGTAATGTATTAAAGTGTTAGAAATATTTTATAATTAAAATGAATGTATAATGAATACACAATTTTATCTTTTGTAAAAATTATTTTTTGAGACAGGATTTCCCTCCGTGACCCGGACTGGAGTGCAGTAGTGTGATCATAGCTCACTGTAGCCTTAGTCTCCTGGGATCAAGTGATCCTTTTGCCTCAGTCTCCTGAGTAGCTGGGACTACAGGCACATGCCACCACTCCTGGCTAATTAAAAAAAAATTTTTTTTAGAGTTGGCTTCTTGTTATGTTGCCCAGGATGGTCTCAAGCTGTTGGGCTCAAGCGATCCTCCTGCCTTGGCCTCCCAAAGGCACTGGGATATCAGGCATGATGTGATGTGCCTAGCCTGAGATTTTTTTGTTTGAAATGAAGTCTTGCTCTGTCACCCAGGCTGGAGTGCAGTGGCGCAGTCTCGGTTCACTGCAACCTTCGCCTCCTGGATTCAAGTGATTCTCCTGCCTCAGCCTCCCAAGTAGCTAGGTGCATGCCACCACGCCCAGCTAATTTTTTTTTTTTTTTGAAACAGAGTCCCGCTCTGTCACCCAGGCTGGAGTGCAGTGGCGTGATCTCGGCTCACTGCAAGCTCCGCCTCCCAGGTTAATGCCATTTTCCTGTCTCAGCCTCCCGAGTAGCTGGCACTACAGGCGCCCACCACCATGCCTGGCTAATTTTTATTTTTTTTATTTTTTGTGTTTTTAGTAGAGATGGAGTTTCACCGTGTTAGCCAAAATGGTCTCGATTTCCTGACCTCGTGGTCCACCCGCCTTGCCCTCCCAAAGTGCTGGGATTACAGGCGTGAGCCACGGCGCCCAGCCAATTTTTGTATTTTTAATGGAGATGGGATTTCACCATGTTGGCCAGTCTGGTCTCGGACTCCTAACCTCAGGTAATCCCACCTGCCTCGGGCTCCTAAAGTGCTGGGATTACAGGTATGAGCCACCGCGCCTGGCCTGGCCTGAGAATTTTAATAACTAATTTGCAAACATGGAAATAGTTCTAACGTAAGTTTTTCATTGTGCGATGTCATAGGAACTTAAAAATTAAACATTTCTCTGGAGAGTTAATTTATAACCTTGTCTACTTCGTCAGCAGAAATTAGAAACTTAATATCACACCAGCATGTAAGCAAAAATTAACAAAAGTTCACAGCCTTCCCTTTCCTCTGGGTTTGGGGTTGCGAAGCAATATCTTGTTAATGTTCCTTTCTCAGCATTTTGCAAATGTGCTTCCCTGCAGTTGGTGGGGTCCTTTTTGCCCATCCCAGTGAGAAGAGGCCTGGCTGGAGTTTTCTGAGGGCATCTCCGCTCAGCACTCGCAGCCCTACCAAGCACATGCTTTTAAACGTGAGCCCCCAGCCCGCTACTCACGGGATCTACCTGTAAAGACAGTCACTGAACTCAGCACAGAAAGGCAGGAAGAAAGCTCAGGAAGGACTTCCTTTACAGCCTCAGAGAGCGCACCAGAGGGGAAGACATTTAATGTCTAAGATTCAGGTATAAGAAACAGTGTAATCCCAGCATGTTGGGAGGCCAAGGTAGGAGGATCCCTTGAGCTGAAGAGCTCAAGGCCAACCTGGGCAACATAAATGAGACCTCATCTCTAAAAAAAAAAAAGAAAAATTAGCTCTGATGGCCCATGTGTAATCCCAGCTACTTGGGAGGCTGAGGTAGGAGGATTGCATGAGCCTAGGAGTTGGAGGCTGCAATGAGCTGTGATCACACCAATGCACCCCAGCCTGGGTGACAACAGTAAGACCCTGTCTTAAAAAAGGAAAAAACGAAATAGTAGATATTAAAGTTTTGAAAGCTAAAACAAAGAACAAGAGTCAAAATGAAGGAAATAAAGCATGCTTATATACCTGCTGTCTAATGACCTAGCTGCCTGTGTCCACTTTATAAAACACTAATGCTCTGCACTTACGTTCTTTCTTTCCTAGGATGAAAAACCTCCATTACGTGAGAAACCTCCACCCTCCCCAGGTATTTGCCTTTTGAATTATATTATGATTGAAAAGCTTGTTGTTTTGGAGAATATCCAGATTAATTTTATCTGAAAATAAAGATTACGTTTTCTTTTTCTTGTATTAGTTGTTGAACTTTCACCCTTGCCTCAAAAGAGAGGGTGCAAACACTAGGTAGTGGACGTGTGTCCACACAGGATGTGCTTGGATCCTGGTAGGCTGGGGGTTACACCTGGGGGGACGTGGACCTGTGGGATATGCTGGGATCCTGGGGGAAGGGAGGTGGACCTGTGGGATATGCTGGGATCCTGGGGGAAGGGAGGTGGACCTGTGGGAT